CTTCCGGGGCAGAAATTATTAAAGTGGTAGAGAAATTTCAATCAAACAAGCCGCTTGTGTGGCTCAGAGGTGTAGCTTCTTTTCCGGCGCCGCTCATCGGGGCTCTGATCGATGCATCAACCACTTCGGTCCACGACGAACACTCTAGCAGCGCAGGTGGGTACAAAAGCGAGGTGCTCGCCCTCGCAGGATAGCATGATACCGCTAGCTGCCGCCGGTTGCGAGTTGCTTTTCACTACGCACTCCGACACCGGGCGGGATGTACTACAGTCCACTCTGGTGCAGAATATAAATTCTGGTACATGCAGCTTGTAAGCAAGGCGCTGCACAGAGCCGTTAGGTGACAGCGGAAATCCCGATGCCTTCTCTCTTCGATTAGGTTGGCGCTCACTCACCTGTTATTGACAAAAAAGGAAGTCTAATTTCCACGGAAGAGAGACTACCGTCTCGATTATGGGAACGTTTCTATCAGTTTGTTCGTAGCCTCAGTCACGCCGCACTCAATTGGCGACCACCGTTGCCCTGTCGCCGGTTGTGTCACCGACCGCTACCGGCTACACCGACTGAACCCAGACTGAACGCTTCACTTACACGCCTTCAATGTCGTTTTCAATGTTGTGACGTGACGGTTTGCTGATTGGTGCAAATGGCTTACATAAAGTTCAAGCTATAACCGCTTGGGGAATAATTGGCACTGGCGGCGGCCCTTGCGCCTCCCAATGGCCCAACTCTCCCAATATACGGCTCTGGGGGAACCTGAACGTCAGCGCGCAGCTTTTGCAGCGGTAAGGACCCGAATCACACTTGTTCGCTCGGGAGAAGTGTGTTTCGGCGCCAGTCACATGGCTCTCCTTTCATCTTTTGCCTGCCACTCCACCTTTTTCATTTCACTGGCCGCTTCATGTGACAATCTGCCAGACTTTGTCAGTATATAGGAGGCTATGCTTTGACAGGTGCCACCTTTGAGGCACGCATGCCCCCATGCAAAAACAAACATGAGGATGTCAAAAAAATAATTCATAGGCAACAAAAAATATATAGAACGTTCAGAGAATCTTGTGATTTGACAAAGTGTTTATAAAGTTTTTAAGCCGCGCTTACACTACTCATACATCATTGTAAAGCTCTTCCAAGGAGACGAGGGCGTATTAGAGACTGAAGTGACGCACAAAAGTAGAAGGAAGGAATCAATTTGGTCCGACAGACCAAAGAAATATGAACGTAAAGGAAAATCAAATAAAAAGAAACATATAGTGGACTTAAATATAAGAGGTTTCTAGAAGCACAATCAGTTTGGTGCGTCTCAAAGTCTTATCGGGGCCTGAAGTTCACTCTGTTTCTGAGTAGCGATGAATACGAAGCCGACTCTTTTCCGCTTGTGTCAGAGCCACGGTTTCCAGGGTGAAATACAGAGCCCGGCAAGCTTGCGATGGACGAAGGGCAACCGGCCGTCCGTCAGGCTTGATGGTGTTGCCCTTCCTGGGGCGAGACCAGAGGTGCTATGTTGCGCTTTTTGCACTCCCAGGGCCCATTTTCTCGAACGCAAACCGTGGTTTAAAGTTAACTATTGTCCCTAGAACGGGGAATTGTAGGTCACGTGACTGGGCGAGCAGGGGCGCCGAGGGAGAAGCAGTACCTACAAGCAAAATGGCCGCGACGTCGCTTAATGAGGGCTAAAGGTTCTGCTTGGTTCTGCCGAACATTCATTTCGATCCGGCTGTTATATTAATGACGCGCCATCAACCTATTAGCACGTCAAGCAAAGCGGTAGTTCAGAGGGACAACTAAGCTAACCGACGGCAGCATTCCGCGAACGCATCACTCTTCACCAGTCCGGGACCCAGGACATATGACGGTACATCAGCCTTGCAAGTGTTTTTATGGTGAGTAAAAAATGTTTTGCGAACAAGCGTTGGTATACAAACAGGTTTAATTTGTTACACTGTGCACGCCAACTCGCGAACAGCGATTACTTTGCGAAGAAAGGGGTTATCTTCGATAAAGTCTTCGTTCCGAGCGAACAGCTGAGACATTGTACCGTTTTTTTTTTTTTTTTTTTTTGTTCGCAGTGCGCCGACAGTATGCCGACAGCATCGAGGTTTCTACATATCCTCGGTGGCCAGCAATTCAACGGTGACGAGAACCTTAGCTTTACGCTGAAGCAGTGCCGCTGCGTCTGGTTCTGACCGCGACGGTCGGTCGATGCATTCACCAATGGAAAAGATAGTACAAGCGCGGTATACGAATCAACCTTGCCGATGTCATCTGCAGAAGTCGCAGAAACGAGAAAGAAACAAACACTTATTACAAAGAAAGTTGACGAGATCATCCTTTCGCTTTTTTTTTTTCGTTTTTAAAAGTCATATTAGGATTATCTTTCGTCTTATTGCGATATATAGCAAAACGCAGGTGTGCGGGTAGAGAAACCAAGGTAGCAGATGATAGTGTCCTGACCGCAAACGTCGGTTGAAAATGGACCAAGCGTCAGTATCGAGGGCTTGCGAACAGAGGCAAAAAATTATGACATTAGACGAGAGATTGAAGTTAATTCGGGAAGTTGGGGCAAGAAGGGAACAAATTATGGGAAAATTCGGTCCTGCAGTAACTGCACACACGAGACAGCAGGCGTGGCTCGACATTGCCGATGCAATGAATGAGCAGGGAGCTCAGAGGACCGCAAAGCAGCTGAAGGAGGCGTGGCAAAACCTCCTGAAAAAATCCAGAAAGGTCTACAGCGCCTACAAGAAGCATGAAGGGCGCACAGGTGAGTCGGAGGAATTTGCATATTTCGAAAAAACAAACTAGTTTTCAATTGTTCGCTTTAAAGATGAGTGGGGGTGGGGGGGGGGGGGGGGGGGGCAGGGACACAAAAAATAAACAGAACGTTTTCTGCCATGGATTATAATGCCGTGTTTGCATTTAATTTTTTCATGGCATGACTGATGACTGATATAAAAGTGAGTGTTGACGTGTAACTTTCCACTACATTCCTGTCCTTGTTCGAAAACAGTAATAAAATCAAAAGAGGCAACATCTCAAAACACTTTATTGAAATTTCCTTTAACCGTGTTTTAGTAACCGAGACACACATGAAACAGCAAAAAGTGTGGTAGACCTGAGACAGAGGAGATCAAAATGTTGAAAGCACACCACCTAAACTGTGCCTTTTCTGTTGTTTTTAAGAAAACAGTCCTAAAACTTAGGGCATTGTTGTTCATCGAACACGTCGCTGAATAATCTACACTACTGCATCCTCAAGGCACACAGAAAGTACTATGTACAAAGTTGACTGCAGCACAATTGCACGCAGCGATGTGCATATTGGAAGGTCACTGTTGCGAGATCACTCCACTGCAATGTCAAGAAGTTACATTTCTGCCACAGAGTATAAATTACTATGCTTTTATTTGATGCTTCATAATGCTGTTGGATTTCTGCTGTTTATATTTTAGCTTGGTAGTTGGTTATTGATCCCCCTCCACTCTGCAATGCCTCTGGGGCCCGGGTGACTACGGAATGAAAATAATGTGCATTCATTTGGTAGGTGCCGGCCCGAACCCCCATGAACTGACGCCCCTAATTCAGGCAGTTCTCGACGTGATCGGCGTCGACTCGCCGAACCTGTGTGGGCTCGATGTCATTGAGGGTGACACGGAAGAGTGAGTGGATTACTCTTACATCAGTCTGTATGACAAGTCAACAGCACTGAGTGCCGGGCATGCAGAACAGCTCTGTTATTAATGGTGGGACCCTAAGAAACTGATGTGAGAACAGGGAGATTGTAAAAATTGTCATAGTGCCATACACACAATATCTAATTGGAAATCAGCGCACTTTCATGTATCACTACTGCGTGATGCAGGTTAGGATAGGGAGCCCAGGCTAGCGGACATACTGCACTGCCTTTGGGTCACTTATGGCAAGCATGTAATCGTGAATTTCTCTTCATTTTACTCATACGGCTGCATAATTGCTCTACAAGCAACCTGCAAAAAACACACACAGAAGGATATGTAGCAAAATGTGCTCATTACTAACATAACTAACACCCAGACAACAGAACTACCGATGTACCAAAGGCAGATATCCGAGCAGAGTTGTAGTACACGTTTTGATGATTGAAGAAATGCAAGGTGGTGATATTTAGTTCTAACCTCTTAACCAACAGGTGCAACAAATAAGACTATATTCTTCCTTTGAAAAAGAAAGGTATAACCCTGTTGTTACGCATGATATTTGATTAGTTGTTGAATGAGTGAACAAACTCATCGTTTATGCTGTGACGAACTAGTGCGGAACGCAAAAAGGAAAGAGGTTGCGTTGCTGGCATCAGTTATCGGTTTAACAGCAGGATAGAAAGCCATAGCAAGATTGACTCTATACATAGCCAAGCGAAAACTCTTTTGTAGCATCGTGGATTTCGTAAACAACGAGACTTGAATGTTTGGTTTCACAACATCCTTAGGTGAAATAAATGGCAAGGTTTAGAAATTTATAAGAAAGCTAAAGATAATGAAATACTGAAAGTTGCAACCGGTACAAGGAATATTACCGTAATATCCCGAGAGACGACCCATCCCCAACAGATAGCCCATCCTGATTTGTAGCAGGGCTTTCTATTTTTCAATGGCTCAAGTTGAGCTACCTTGTGAACACCGAATGTTAGCCTACCCCTTATTTTTACCTAATGTGCTCTCAGTTTTGGGTGGGCAATTTCACGGGATATTACGGTGAGCATGGATTTCTGCATGAGCACCTTGTGTGTGGTCCACTCGGAGATGCTTGAAGCATCAGAGAGTTTCTGTTCTACAGTTAAGTACACTGTGGCAAAATTCCAGCAACATGTCGGGGTTACAAACACTGTATGTTATACGTATGTTGCCTGCACACTCCTAATAACTACAGCAAATCACTTCCTGCATATCCATTTGTCACAGCGATAGCTTGAGGCAAACGGCAGCGCCGCAGCCTCGGGCGTCAGGAAGCGGCCAGAGGGTGGCAGCAGCAGAAGAGTGGGCAGCAGCTCCCCGTGTCTTGCAGACGAGACGTTGGTGCCGGGAAGCTGCGCAGAGGTATCAGCAGCAAGCTGAGGACCAGCAGCAGATGGAGGCGGAGAACCTCCTGTTGGATAGGGAGGCAACAAAAAGAGCCATAGATGCCTCCAATGCACAAATCGCTGCAGCAGATGCTGCTAAACAGTATTACACTGAAATGCTAAGGCTACAAACCTTGCAGGCTGAACTTCAAATTGAGCTTTTGAAAAAACAATTGGGAAAGGAGTAATCAGAACAGACCAAGGGGGGGGGGGGGGCGTTAAGTTCTAAGATTTTTTTTTTTAGATTGACGAAGCAAGGGCGGATGTGAAATAATAGAAGTACATTTTGAAATGCAAGGATTTGTGAAAACCTCAGTATGTTATGGGGTAGTCGTCCCTGGAGAAAAACACTCGACCCAATGCGACGGCCAGTAAGATGGTGCAAGTAATTTTAACGAATAATGAAATATTTTATCGCCTTCCCAGTATTCCAGAGTACCACATTGGTATCCGACACCAGAGACAATCTAACCAGCGGAGTTTCCATACATGTGCGCAAGCCTGTCGACACGTCAAAAACATCATTGTTGGGCACTAAGGAAAGAAGCTTAACAATTCGACCCTGCTCAAAACAAAACAGCAAGTAAGCAAATAACCTAGGAAGTGCCTGCACGGCGCAAACAGTGATTATGCGTTTAAATGCATGGTTACTGGTGTGACCACTCGGTGTGCCTGATTTCTTCGAGGACAGTGTGTCGCGGAATTTACACCGTTCAGGAACTCTGTACTCTTTTTGTTCACTTCCCGAAAAAAACAGGCATTACCATACTTCAACGTTGTTCGACAGCGATTTTATACACCCTTTACTCTTTTACTAAGTGAAATAACCAATGACAGAATTATTCCTCTTATGTACATGACCCATTAGTGGCTGTTATAATCGGACCACTACTGTGACGCATACAGGTTGACTCCTCTCACCTGTAGAATACTTTTAAATATGGTAATAATACCAACTTATAGGACAGAGGCGCAATAAAATGAAATGGTAATATTTTTAAGGCTATTATTTCGCTCACCCCTATAATTACTCGCACTGAGGGCATTGATGTTCGCGTAGCCTGTAGTACGAAGACAAGCACGATGACCAACACGCAGAAGTGGGCCGAAGCTTTTCGCACAAAAGCCGCACGCACTGTTGACCGAGGCACACAACAGCAATATATGGCAGGACTTTTGCGTATGTGGTTCCATGGGTCATGCAGCAATTTCACTGTTAAACGCAGTTGCAATTATGCTGCTTGACCAACTCTAACCTTTTATAACGAGGTACGCTGCAAGACATGTCAATCAATCTTTGGGCATTTGTTACTACATACCGAAACTGGACGAGGCGAGAATCATTCTGATCCGTGCCTGCAATGCTGTTCAGAAGAGTTACCTTGTTTGGACACCGCCACATTACATCTTAAGTGCATGTCATTGTTGCAACCAACAAAAAACATGCTGCAATGAAGAGGGTTTGCGAGACAATATGGTTTGCAATGTTCGAGACACTCTTTCTGCTACAATGTTCGGATTCAGGAAAGGGTACAGACGTCTTCAATATGAGGGTGGACGCCTGAGCGGCATACGACGGGCGCTGCATCGTCTCCAAGCGACGCTTTTGCAAATAAAGGTGGATAGCAGTCGCAGCACAACATCTGCTTGCTCTAATATCTGCCAATGCTTCCATTCTTTTGCAACGAGTGAATTCCGCAAAGCCTGTTTACCCTCGTATTGAAACCATACATGAAGAGTGCTTCATAAAGATTAAAATATTTATGTTCTCCAAGGAATATGCTGGGGTTGGTTCAGCCCCTTATATCAGCTGCTGGTAAAACCACAGCCAAAAGATGCCACGAAGCATTCAAGAAAATTTATTATATGAAATCGCGTGCCACATTCAACTTGTTATTATGGTTATTCATTTACGGAGCCTGGTAAACACACAGAGAGGACAATATCTCTGTATGTTTCTCGCATTCAAGAAAACCAGTTTGAATTGAAAAGACCACATACCCACATACTTACGCTCAACAGAAGAACTGGTCGACAAGGGCACGCCGGGCCTCGTTGCTTTCTCCACGGCCGGCTGCCATGGGCTCCACAGGAACCTCAGGCGGGATGGCAGTCCCTGGCATCGCGCAGGGGTATCTCTTGGCGAGATTGTGGAGCACGCAGCATGCCACGATGATGTCGCAGCATCTGCTTGGCTCCATGCGCAGCTCGGCGTGCAGGCAGTGGAACCTGCGCTTCAGCTGGCCTATTGTCCTGCGTGCATCATATGGACAGAATGAGTATTATTTATTTAAATTACACTAATATATTAGGGCTGAGAATATTTCATACTTTCTGAATGCTGTAGCCTACCGAAAACCCGGCAATCATTTCTTATCATTGCCAAGATATATAACAGTATGTTTACATGTAACCATATTAAACTTCCCTCAACAAATGTTCCTCATAGCTGAGTGTAAGCGAAACACAGTTTCATACAAACAGTCGTTAACATTAGCAGTCCGAAGATGTCTGTCAACGAATTCCCTATAGCAACCTGAGCCCGGTGCAATTTGTCACATTTTTACGGCGAGTCCCAGCAGTGTGGAGTATTTTAGAATGTATGGCAAGTAGGTGTGTAATTTCTGTAAAGGTGGGGCCGGAAAAAAAAACACGGCTTTGCATTTGTATCTTTTTGCTCTTCTGTATCCAGGTTGAACCAAAATATTGCCTTTCACACGTATGTAACAAATCCTGCCCCTAACGAACGAACAATGTGATATGTTCTCCAAAAAATATGTTGGAGAATATTTCACGTTTTTGTTTTTTGATACGATGCATGCGTTTTGCATGTCTGCTTTTTATGCAACACTGCATATATGTATCTACGTTGCACCCTTATGTAGGCCCTCGGGCTGTATAGGGGCACTGGAAAGTACAATAAATAAATATACATTCTTGGGATAGTATTTTCTTTCTTCTCTCTTTAGGTTCCGTGCAATTACTGTTTTCTGCTGGGTCTAGAGAACACAAAACTGCATGTAGGGGCGTTACAATTAACAGTGTCTTCTGTGCTATGACAACAAAATGTTACGTTGTCTAGTGGCATTCTTTTCAATATAGCAGCCCAGTAACCCACCACGATGCGTGACTTTGTCTTACCTTTCAACAATACTCCTTGTCGTGGTGTGTGCCGTGTTGTACCTCACTTCTGCTGCTGATGATGGCGACAGGAATGGCGTTATCAGCCACGGCTGGCAGGTGTAGCCGCTGTCGCCGAGCAATAGGCCATCGTAGATGCCATCGGCCAGCTTGACTGATAGTGTGCTCTCGGTGAAAATCCGGGAGTCGTGTGTGCTTCCTGGCCATCTCGCAACCACATTGCGTATGCGGCAGGACGCGTCAACTACCACCTGTACGTTGATGGAATGGTACAGGTGGCGGTTCACGTACACCTCCTCGTGCACGCGCGAGGAGGTGTACGTCAAATTCTTCCAGCGGATCGAGGCGGTCCCGGAACACACGTTGTCGTCCCAGCATGACGACAGCGTACTGCGCGTACGCGCGGTCTCGTCGACGTCGACGCCTCGTCCCGTTCGACATCGTTTCCGTTAGAAAAGTACAAATAGGTCCGCAAATCAGTTGTTAGTAAGTCCGCAGTCGGTCGGTGGGCTAATCGGTGGATCGGTTGGGCAAACGGAAGAGAGGGCAAACAGTTGAGATCAGCAGGAATCGTAGAAACGTGCGTCGCAGGGAACAAAAACGAGTCTACAGCAGCGGCTTTGCCAGACTGGAAGGGACTCGGGAAAGTTATGCGTTGTTTATGGCGAAACATATTGAAGGAAATGTTTCTTACGTCTTCAAATATTCGTCGACAAACTCTAGCATGGTAGCTAAAATTTCTTCGTAGCATCTGAAGCAAATAAATTGTTCTTCAAGTACAACATTACCATATTTTGACTTAAAATATCATACTAGAGCGATAAAAACTAGCGGAAAAAGAGAATAAACAAAATGACTGGCTTGTTTCACCGATAGATGACGCATCTTACTGCCCAATCAAAAATGATTATTGTGGTTTTATATCCAGCCGTTTATTATAGTACCTAGGTACTTTTTCCTTCCTAGGTACCGTGGTTTACTAAAATGGGTTTACCATCGCTTCGAGAAAACCGGCCCAGGGGTGCTACGTTGCGCTTTTTGGACTCCCAGGAGACTAGGGAGAAGGAAGTGACGTCAACAACGCAGCAAATGCAGATTGGATGTTGATTTTGTTTTCTTCTGTCAACAACCAATCTAAGTTTGCTGTATCGTTGACGTCACTTCTTTCTTCCAAGTCTCCTGGGAGTGCAAAAAGCGCAACATAGTTCCCCAAGAGACTTGGAAGAGGGAAGTGACGTGAACGACTAGAGCAAACGCAGATTTGCTGTTGAAAGAAGAAAACAAAATCAACATCCAATCTGCATTTCCTGCGTTGTTGACGTCACTTCCTTCTTGCTAGTTACCTGGGGGTGCAAAAAGCGCAACATAGGCCCCCAGGGGGTGCTATGTTGCACTTTTTGGACTCCCAGGAGACTGGGAAGAAGGAAGTGACTTAGGTGTGAATGAACGTATCTTAGCAGCACCACGCAACGCGTCATCAGCGACTCCACCAATCAACATCCAAAGAGCGTTGTTGACGTCACTTCCTTCTCCCTAGTCACCTAGGAGTCCAAGGGGGCTATGTTGCGCTTTTTGCACTCCCAGGAGACTAGGGAGAGGGAAGTGACGTCAACGACACAGCAAACGCAGATTGGGTGTTGATTTCGTTTTCTTCTGTCAACATCCAATCTGCATTTGCTGTGTCGTTGACGTCACTTCCCTCTTCCAAGTCTCCTGGGAGTGCAAAAAGCGCAACATAGCACCCCAAAACGGGCAGCATAGCCCCCCAGGGTTTCTCAGCGGTGCGGCAATGAATAGTGGTCAGAGATCGGATGCTGCTCCGGTTCGACGGTGTTGCCCTCGCTGGCAGGGGGCCAGGATCCCTCAGGAGCGTAGCCTGAGCTGACGGGAGCGCTGTCGGAGGTCACTCCGGCTCGATGATGTTGCCTTTCCTGGGACGAGGCCACGGTTTTTCAGGGGCGTAGCCTGGGCTGTCGGGAGCGCTGTCCGCTACAGTCGGTCGCTTGTTCCCGCTCGAGACACACACCTGGTGCCCTCCGCCTGTCTTCAGCCCTTCAGCTCGCCCTTCTCCTTTTCTTCTTCTTCACCCCGTTGTCACTAGAAGAACGTGACAATCATACTAAAGACAGTCTGGAAACACTTCCTGAAGCGCGTTTCTTTCCTGTACGACGGTAGTGTCACATTCATCATGCAAAAACTGTATTTAGTCATGTTTGAAGCATGCATATGTATGAGGCGAACTTGGTTCCTGTGGTATCAGTGTGATAACAGTGTAACAGTGTGACAAAGCTACACGTGGTGTGCTCTGGTTATCGATGACGTCCGCAGGATTGTCTATAAAAGGGCTGACGAAATAAAACACAGGGGCTTCCTTTTCCCAGACGTCCCGTGCGAATGGTTCATTCTTCGTTGCTCGCAATCGCACGCCGATAGTACGGCGGCGCGACATGGTATCAGAAGTGGGCGTATCATCAGTCTAGGTTCGCGAAAGCAAGCGTAAAAGACTATGGCGAACGAAACGCCACCGGCACCTACGGGAACGTTTGGACTTCAACAGCCACCACAGCTGGACTTCGACAACACAACGGAGTGGCCGGCGTGGATAGAACATTTCGACGATTACCGCTTCGCCACAGGCATCAACGAAAGAACCGGTGAGGCACAAGTCCGCACGCTTTTGTACACAATGGGCCGGCAAGCAAGGGAAATTTTTGCCACGTTCGACCTTTCGGCAGAGGAGGCAAAGGACTTCGACCTCGTCAAGCGAAAGTTCGACGAGCACTTCGTCAAGGAACGAAACGTCGTGTATGAAAGTGCATGTTGTCACCGAAGGCTACAGAAGCCAGGAGAGTCCGTGGACCAGTACGTTACGGCACTGCACGTCCTCGCAGACCGCTGCGAATTCGGTGAGATGAAACAACGCATGATCCGGGACCGGGTTGTCGTGGGGCTCCATGACGACAAGCTTTCCGAAAACCTGCAAATGGACTCCAAGCTGACCTTGTCATCGGCGTTAGCCAAGGCACGCCTCAAGGAAGTGGTGCACCAGCAGCAGCGAGAACTTCGTTCAGGAGAGCCCGGTCAACAGGCCTGTTCTTCGACGAAAGAGGACCTGAACGTAGACGCCGTGAGCCGACGCCGGGATGCACCTTGAAGAAAAGTCTACGGGTCGGAAACATCACATCGGGACAAGCAGTGTTCTTTCTGTGGAGGCGACCAGCATCCAAGGTCGGTGTGTCCTGCAAGGGCACAGAAGTGCTTCAATTGCCACACCAAGGGACATTTCAGCCGGGCCTGCAGGAAGGAGTCGGCGTCGTCTCCAAGAAAGGTACAAGTGTCATCCGTACAACAAGAGACTGGCGAACTTTTTCTGGGGGCGATAAATGTTCCGGACGCGAAAGCGCGGTATGTCCAGATAACCTTGAACTCTGTACCAGTGTTTGCTAAAGTTGATTCAGGAGCAGAAGCCACTCTTGTACCGTCTACGTTTCCAGGCATTCCGTTTAGGCTGGAAACAGCAAGCGAAGTACTGACTGGTGCGGGAGAAAATCGCCTTACGGTACTTGGAAAGTTCAAAGCTAAGTTCATCTGGAAGGACAAAGTGTCGATGCAAACTGTCTATGTCGTGAGTCCGCTTCGCCAGGTACTTCTAGGGTTACCAGCCATAGAGGCTTTGGGAGTTGTAAATTTCATCGATGGTGTGTCTCTTGATAAACAAAATTATGATGTTCTGTACCCGCAGGTGTTCAATGGTCTTGGGACCATTCCGGGAGAATACAACATCCGGCTGAATTTGGATGCGGTCCCGTACGCTATACACGCGCCACGACGGGTCCCGATTCCTATGCGTGAGGCGGTAAAGCAAGAAATTGAAAAAATGGAAGGGATGGGAGTCATCCGGAAGGTCGATGGTCCTACAGACTGGTGCGCCGTGATCGTTCCGGTCTTAAAACCGTCCGGAGACGTACGCGTGTGCGTTGACCTCACACAATTAAACAAAAATGTCCAGAGAGAGCGATACGTGCTCCCAACGGTAGACCAGGCATTGGGACTGCTCGCGGACGCGACGTATTTCTCGAAGTTAGATGCTAATTCGGGATTTCACCAGGTAAAACTAGCAAGGTCATCTCAGGAACTAACGACGTTCATAACGCCCTTTGGAAGGTTTTGTTTCACTAGACTGCCCTTCGGCATTACGTCAGCGCCTGAATACTTCCAAAAAAGAATGTCGGAGATTCTAGATGGCCTCCCTGGCGTAGTTAACATGATGGATGATATCCTGGTGTTTGGTTCGGACAAAGCACAACACGATGAGCGCGTGAAAAAAGTCATGGACAGACTCGCCGAGTCAAACATGACACTAAACGGGGCAAAGTGTGTGTTCGGTGTAAAAGAAGTTAGCTTTCTAGGTCATCTTCTGAGCGCAGATGGCACAAGGCCTGACCCCAAAAAGCTGCAAGCGGTCAAAGATATGAAATCGCCGACAAGCGTGTCGGAAGTACGAAGCATTCTAGGTATGGCCAATCACTTGGGCCGTTTTCTGCCTAATCTCGCTCAGAAAACTGCACCGTTGCGAGAACTGCTAAAAAAAACCACGGAATGGGCTTGGGGCCCCGCTCAGGAAAGTGCTTGGAACGATCTAAAAAGCATGATTTGTTCTTCCGAGTGTATGGCTAAGTATGACCCAACCCATCCGACAATCCTTTCGGCAGACGCGTCGTCATTTGGGCTTGGAGCCGTCCTCTTACAAGAGCAGCAAGGGGTACGACGGCCTATCGCTTTTGCTTCGCGGTCTTTGACCAAAGCTGAGATTCGCTATGCGCAGATTGAGAAAGAGGCGTTGGCACTGATATGGGCTGCCGAAAGGTTTGACGAGTACCTGAGGGGCTTAGATACGACGTTCGAGACCGACCATAAGCCTCTAGTTACGTTGCTGGGACAAAGTCCGATAGATGTGTTGCCGCCTCGAATTCAGAGGTTTAGAATGAGGCTAATGCGCTATAGGTTTAAGGTTGTGTTTGTACCGGGCAAGTGCATTGCAACCGCCGATGTTTATTCGCGGGCACCTCTCAATCAAATG